AAATTTCTCCGGGTTTCTTATATGTTAAAATTTAAATAAGATTAAGATTAATATTAACTACAAATTTTTTAAATTTTGGTTAGTAAAATTATTTTAGTAGATTCTTAAAATGTTTAAATATTTAAAATTGGCTAAATCTAAAAAGTTATGTGGCAAAATCTTAAATATATAAACATATATGATTTAATAAAATTTAAAAATAAGTAATTAAGAAATTATCTAGTAATATTAATATATATTTTTTTTTTTTTTTTTTTTTAACCTTTGGCTTAAAGCCTCAGGACGCCGTTGGCGTGCAATTTATTTAAAATACATGATACTAGAGAGTATCGTACCTATACACATATACAATTCTACTATAAGTGCCTATTATAATCAATGTTTCCCGTGTCCTCCTATTGTCTACCAATTAAACGATAATTAAGAAATTTCATTAACCTTCTTTTCTCTTTACCATCTTGTAATGACTCCAATACCTTTAATTCCTTAACTATCCTATTTTGCACTATTGCCGGAAGTATCATTTCTGGTATTGCACTCTGTCCCCATTTGGCTTGAGTATACCAATGCCATAACTCATAAATGCCATTGATATGTACCCAAAGTGCAGCTTTACATTTTTGTGATTCTCTTATGTTCAAAGCGGAATATACTTCTTCTAATGTTTGGGGCAGTCTGTCTTCAGCATCTGTTAATAAAAATTTATATACCACCTCCCAAATTATCCTACTAACTTTACATTCTATGATAAAATGTTCTAATGTTTGTACACTCCCTGGGCATCCAGGACAGTCACCATTTTCTTCGGAAAAATATACTAACCGATATCCAAAAAGTAACAATCTGTGCATCATTCTCCAGAAAATATTCTTTTTTTGATTTGAAATTAATTTCACTTAATGCCATGTTTGCCAGTTCGTCTTTTGTATTAACATTTGCGAAGCTGTGGGAGTTATAGATTTAGAATGCAAATACTCTACTGCTTTTTTAACAGAATAAATACTTCCTGCTTGGTTGCTGACTTTAATATCATCTGGCATCCATGGCCAGGTACCTTCCCCTGAGATCTTGCCCTCGAGCCTTCTCCACGTGTTTATATATGCCCACTATCCTTCCGGCCATCCCTTTGCTTTAACTGGTATATTGTTTAGTGCAGCCTTTATTGTCATTTGTCTTTTGTATTGTATCTGCTTCGTAATTATAGACCTTTTTATCCTAGCCCATATACTATCTCCTGTTAACAATTTTAGCCACATCGTGATCAACCTAGAGTCTAATATGTCGTTTAGAACTGGAGCTTCCAATCCTCCCTGATTGTATCCCTGCTGAAAAATAGCATAACGGGGAAGTATCTTTGATTTTCTTTTGATCCAATCCATTATTAAATTATTGAGAACGTTTAATTGTTTTCTTTTGGGAGGAAGAAGATATGCAAGGTACCAAATTTTTGAAATGAAAAGTGATTTTGCTAACAAAATTTTACCCTTAAATGAAAGATTTCTCTGTACCGTTTCTTCAATTCTTCTCTTTACCTTCTGAATCATACTTTCCCAAACATGCTTTGCAGGATTTCCTCTCCTATCGATCTCATAACCCAAGATTGAAATAAATTCGTTTACTCTATTTTTTTTAAAATTATTTTCATCAGATAACTCTGATTCCTGGGCATTATCAGTAAGGGGCACCAGAACTGTCTTAGATTTGTTTATTGTAGTGTTTGACGCAGCCTCATATTTTTTGGATAATTCGCAGGAAGTATGCCAATCTGTACAAGATCCAATTCCAATAGTTACATTATCCGCGTATGCGGCCACTTTGAAAAAATGATCATTTATTCCTATACCTCTAATTTTTTTATACATACTTCTCAGTAAGGGCTCTATGGCTAGAATGTACAAAAGTGGAAATAATGGGTCTCCTTGCCGAACGCCTCTGCTTACTTTGAATGGTTCCGAAAGCATTCCAGCATCTAAGAGGTAGGCTTGTTATGTAGAGAAAAGGGTTTTAACAACATTTATAAATCTTTTATCAAATTCTATCCGTTGAAGAACTAGCTGTAAGAAAGTATGACTAATTCAATCAAAGGCTTTTTGTTGATCTATGCATAAATCCAGTGGTGCTTCGATTGATTAGTTTGGTTTCGCATTATTGTGATGATGTCTTGTGCTGTATCCGTTATTGATCTACTAACAATAAAACCTCTTTGATAAGTGCCAATTATTTCTGCACAAATTTGATTTAGGCATTTTGTGATGATCTTTATAAATATTTTGACATCACAGTTTGTGAGAGAGATCGGTCTCCAGTTGTGTAAATTCTCTAGATCATTCCATTTTTTAGGAATCAAGATAATAATATTTTTACTCCACGAATCTGGCATTTTACCTGTGTCTAACGTATTATTGAACAATTTTAATAACACTAGGAGAGCATCTTTTTCTACTGCTTTATAAAATTCATAAGTAAGCCCATCTGATCCTGGCATTTTATTATTTGGTAGAGTCTTAATTGCATCCTGAATTTCTTCTTTTGTTATCGGTTTGACTAATGAGCTATTTTGTATTAGGGAGATTCATGGTAAGTTCTGTGTTATCTCATCTGCCACTTTCTGATCAATTTCTTCTATCTTATATAGTTGTTCATACTCATTACGAATATAATGCAGAATTACAGATGGGTCATTCTCATTTAAGTTTTCTGGATCCTTAATTCTATTAGTGGGTGTTGATGCATATTTTGTTCTGTACTGCATGTAAAAGTATTTCGTTGATTTTTCTTCACTTTCTACCCATCTGACCTTAGACCTAATCTGCTACCTTTCTGCTAACGAGGCTATTTCATCTTGTAATTGCATGTATAGGTCATTTGCCATTACTTGTAGGCTGTCACATCCATTATTTGAAGCTATTTTAGAGTTTATTTCTGTTAAACTCTTGTGTATTTTCTGAATTCTATTTTCTAGTGAAGCATGAGGTTTATATGCCCTTATTATCGATTGAATAACACATTTGTGGTAGTCCCATTTTGTAATATCCTGAACATTCTGCAATTCTTCTTCTATATCCTCTTGAATTTTTATATTCAACAAGCATTTTTTGTCAAATTTCTATAGAGCAGTTTTTGTGAGATTCTGTGTGAACTGAAGTTTACATTCTACTATCAGATGATCAGAGTTACCTAGTCGAGTATTAACTGCATTACAAAACTGCCTATGGTTTGAATCAAATAATATATAGTCTAGGTGAGTAGCCATGATGAGATTTCCATGAATTTTTTGATAAAATGTGAGAAATAGGGTTTTCCCAACAAGATTCACTGTATCTATAAGATTATTTAGCTTGCTTCATAATAAATCACGAGAAGGGTTCCTACATACTTCTGCTTGACTAACTCGATTTTTATAAGGATTTAGATTTACATTAAAATCTCTGGCTATAATATTAACAACCTCATCGTTTATTTGAGGGTTCCAATTATTAAAAAAGCTTATTCAGTTATCGATACAGGGTGGTGCATATATGTTGGTAATCTGATATGAATGTTGCTTGAATTGGAATCTAGCAGTTAGAATTCTGCTGTTGTGAGATTCTTTAACATTCTCAAACTTGATTTCTTTCTTTCCTGCTAATATTGCTACTTTATTAGTCCAACATGAGTCAAAGGTCCATTGCTGTGCCAAAAAATTCCTTAAGGAAAAGTCTTTTAAGTTTGTTTCCTGAATCACAATCACATCTAAATTATACGATTTTAATAGTGTTAATATCTTTTGATATTTGTGTCTGTTATTTAGACCTTTAACATTTAATGTCCCAATTTTAATTTTATTATACATATTACTATAATGTTTTGGTATGAAAAATTATGCCTTATTTATTTAGCTGAAGCTCGCTGCTCCATGCCTCTTTCATACAGGCTATGCCTTGTATTTGGTCCCCATTCTTCTTTCTATTTTTGTCTTTTTTTCTTGTTACTATTGTGAAACCATCTTCTTTCATGACATGATCTGTCCCATTATTTGACCCTCCTATATTACTCTCAGTATTATTGTCATCATCCATATCCATCACTGTACTATCTTCTTTATATAGATATGTTGTGTCTTGGGGCTGACCTGAGGTAGCTATGGGATCTTTCAACTCAGTTTCCTTCCTTGTATCCTCGATTCTGCTATCAATTTTCATAGTATTCTCTGTTGGTGTCCTATCAGTAAGTTTTATAGTAGATTCTTGTGCATTTTCACTCTGTTGAGTAACAGGTGTTGTGTTAATTTCTTGTTCAGAGAATGAAGATTCCTCTTCAATTGCAGTTCGTGTACTATTAATATATGGATTGTTTTCATTAAATTCCAGCAATTCTGGGATACTAGATTTTTGTGCTTCTTGAACTCTACGTTCTCTCTGCATTCATCGAAGCTCTATTAATACTTTTAGTTCAGCACAATCCCTTTTAATATGTCCCACTTTATCACAATAAAAACAGAGTTTCAGAGCTTCTTTCCACTCTGTTACTACTTTCTGGTCCCAAATATGCATATGACAGGGGACCCTATCTGCAAGATCTGAGTCCTCTGTTGTTTCGAAACTAATTACCTATTGATTTGAGCATATTGGCGTCCCTTCATAAACCATAGATTTAATTGAGGCAATATTTTCTACGTCCTGAAATGCTTCCTTGATTTGGTCTGAGATAATATCTCTCTTCCCCATTGGTACATTTTGCAATCTAACATGTAAAAAGCTACGTCTAATATTTACTGGAATATAACCCAATATGGTCTGTTTAAATATAACAATGCCTTCTGCAGCGTAATGCTGTTGCCTATCTCTGTTTTCAAAAACCACTTCAAGATGTGTACATTTTCCTTTGTTGAAATGAGGCTTTGCTGCAACTAGGTCATCCCCCATTTTCGCATACAAAGCAGCTACGATATCATTTATGGTAAGATATTCTAGATTTTGTATGTCAAAAATTAAAGCATTTTCGTTTTTTGTATGGATCCTATTTCTAGGAGCAAAGGTAGAGAAAGTGGCTCTGCTATTTTTCAATTTTGTGAATAAGCTAGTCTATTTTCGTTTTTCTGGTTGCTTATTTTGCTCACCCTGTAAAAATTCATTACTCAATTCATCAGATGTATGTAGATCACCTGATTTATTTACAATTTTTCCAGAACTATCCACCTCTTTATCCGGTAAATTTTCCGTTTCCTCTAACAAGCTCGATGCTGTATCTGTCAAGTCTTCTCCTATTGAAAAACCCATTTCCGCGTCTTCTGACCAGTCTGAAGGTAAATTATGCATGCCTAAGATAGATTTTTGTTCCAAGTTTGTTTCTGACCGCGTTGTTACAATAGCCTCTTCTTGGTCTGTTTTTTTCTTTATTTCTTTGTTTTCAGCTCTTGTATCATGAACTTTGATCCGTTTTTCCTGAGTCCTACTCATATTTGGCTCTATATTCCTCCTCTTCCTTGATATTAGGGCTTCCGCCCTTGTTAATGAGCTTTGTTCGCTTTTAAATTCTACCACGTACGATATTGTATTGATTCAAGGGCCACCCGACAACCGGATAGCGGTAGAGTGCAGATCTATATTAATATATTTAAAGTAAGATTTTCTTTAAAGAGTCTTATATATTAATAATTCTTAAGTATTTTATTATCTAAATAGATACGGATATCCGGATTATCCGGATTAAAACGGATAACGGATAAGTAAATAGGCTATCCGGATGAGTTAAACGGATATCCGGATGATTATAATTTAAACGGATATGGATAACGGATAAGCAACTGCTTAACGGATACGGATAACGGATAAGGACATGGGATATCCAGATAAGCTAAACGGATATCCGGATTATCCGGATCCAAGCACTAATTTCAGCACCCATTATACAAAATATACGTATATATTCTAGTATACAAGTAAGTATAACCAACTTATATTCTATTATACGCATATACATATTACGTAGACGTTTGTTCATTTTTGCTACACTACGCAACTTCTTTTGTAGTTCCGACTATACTACTTTTGGCAACACCTATTTAAAACGTAACGGTAACGGTAAGTTAGGCCACTCCAATTTAATTTTCTGTTTAACATAACATTAAAATAGCTTATGATAGTGGGAGTGAGAGTATTAAAAAAAAAACACAAATAAAAATACAGTAATTCTATTTGCTGTGAAAAATGTAAAAATGAAAAAAGTTAATACTGCAATTTGATTGGTGTTTTTTTCATGCAAAATCTTAAAAAATAAAGGGAAGGGGCCTTATACAACCCTACTAGATCTAATTCGGGCGAAATTTCATCAAGATCTAAACTCGGGGTCCCTTAAAGTTTACATATAGATCTACATATTGCATAAGTTCCATTCTTGATATCTATATATAAATAAAACTACTAACTGCATCAAAAAATCTAACCCTAACGAACCTGAGCAGATCATCTGGCCCAGTCTTAAAACTCTCATCTCCTGGGCCAAATGATCTGCAAGTTTGACCCTAATTAAATCTGTTTTGATGAAATTTCACCCGAATTAGATCTGTTTTGATATTTGATAAATGATGAGTCATATGATTCATATTTGGGTTCCGCCATAGGTTTCGTCAATCAGAAGTTACCTGACGAAATGGTTTCGTCATTCGTCAATGACGAAGGCTTCGTCATTCGGTCATTCGTCAAGCATAGTGATGTGCCGCGTACAGTACTATACGTACTGTACGCTGAAAAAGTGAGGATTGGTTCTAGGCTAGAACTCGTCCGGAAGTTAGGTTACACAGAGGTTCGAATCCTAGCTAATCTATACAAACAAAACCAAACAATCCAAAAATCCAACTAAAGCGTAACCCTAGGTTGGATAAGGCTTGAAAGAGGCGAGGATTAACTTGGTCCGAGGTTAGGGTTACTTGGGTAAGTATTTTGGTTATAGA